ATTGTCACATCATTATATATAGATTGCAAACTCAGTCCCTTTTTTTTGTTGGCATTCCTTCTTAACCTTTTCTTTTCTTTTCTTTTTTTTTTTGCCAACAAAAAACCATCCTTAATCCTTATTAGAAGCTTAGAAGTACTATATTGATTAAAAGCTTTTGGTTTAAGCTTTTTAGAAGGAAAATTGAAGAGATCTAAAGAGTTTGAAAAATGTTTTTCTTTTATTTTTTTCTGGACTTAAAGAAAAAAAAAAAATTGAAGTGACTAAAATGTCTACAATTCAATTGAATGGTGAACCAATTCGCCCTATAGGGCTGGTCCCAATGGAAGAAATGAATATCCATTACCATTATCCATCGATATAATTCAATTCATCTTTCTTTTGCTTCTTTATTATTATTACCAAACAGAGGATGCACACCATCGAGGTGCAGCAGTCCAAGCCCATGTGATCGCATTGGTCTGGTCCAATCCATTCATCTGGTTTTTGAGCCCACAAAGCCCAAACGGCACTTTCTTAGTTCTTACCCTCTTAGGCTCTTAAGTCTTACCAGATACCTGCCAAGAACTAATGAAGTATACATACACTTCAAAAGTGTGGTGGCTATATTGCATCGAAGTCTCGACGCTAAACAAGTCGACGAGCTCCGGCTATGGCTATGGCTACGGTTATAAGGGTATATCGGTGACTTGATGCAGCTAGTTGAAGATATGAACCCATTTCTCTACAAGCATTTCCCTATGTTCATGATCATACAGAAAGTGTTTGAGAAGAACCCATTTCTCTCTTTGGTGACTAACATTCAATTTATTCATACCCTGGATATATAGATTGCAGGCATTTGATTTGGTAAATTGTTTGAAGCTTCTGTTCCCCAGTTATGGTAATATTTAGGAAAGTTAAAGTTGCAGGCTTAATGTTTAACAAAATGTCTGGCTCGGGGATTGCTGGAAATTGACACTGCATCCTGAACCTGAAGTGATTTCGGAATGGGTTTAAATGGACTCATCAATTCACTAAGATTAAAAAAAGAACAGAGAGAGAGAGAGAACAGAGATTCATCAAAAGGAGCAGACCCCAGATGACGAATTATTACATATGATCAGCACATGGCATCTTCTATTTGTGTCTCAACATGTCTTATAACCAACATTGATGGATCACTTGCCGGTTCCAAAACACGGTATACAGGGTTTGCAGGATAGACAGGACTATAATGATACCTGCAAAAATTTGAGAAACGATCGCCCATGGCTTCCCAAAATAATTGTGGTAATAAAAAGCTCTCCATTTAGGCCACCATTGCTGCCGATAATGATTCACTTCCCTGCAAAGCTTCTGATAGTAAAACTCTTTCACATAAGCATCATGGTATAACATCTTAAAGAACTGGGTCGTGTCCTGCGGATTAACCCATTTGATGAGAATCCCACTCTCCAAGAGTTCATCCATTTCCTCGAGTGTGTGAATGAGGTTGTCCAAGAGTATAGCATAACTTGTAATTCTAGGCTGACAGTTGGGATATCATTGCTCGTAGCTGACGAGGTTTCGGAACACAGGTTCAATGGTTTCTTGAAGTAGAATTGATGGCATTTTGAGGGTGCCATTGACGAACTTGACATCCAAGATGGTTGTTGACTTCACTTTCATGAATTTGATCCGGATTCCTTGATGGTGGTGGTGGAGGGGAAGGGCTGCCAACCCTTTTGCACCTGTTGGGATTGCTTCTCTAACTTAATTTCACACTCGGGAAGTGGAAGTTGCAACACCAAAAAACTTCTTAACAAATCAAGAATGTGCTTAATATCCTGATTGGTGAAGAGATTAATATCCACAAGCAATTGCTCATAGGAAAAGATGTTGCCAAAGAATTTGAGAACTAGTTGAACGAGGGACTTGCTTTGAGATGGAACCCCCGTTGAGCTCAACAAACACTCAAGCACAAACCTGGGGATTTGATTTTCTAGCAAAATCAAGTCCTGGTATAAGAATTGAAGCATACAGGACATGGAGAAAATAGGGTTATCTCTATCTTTTTGAACTTCATTTGCATCCTTTCTTAACAGTTCAATAATGAAGCAACCATCAAGCATCAACACATCTCAACAAATTCCTCTTCACTCATATCAATTTCTTCTGCGTAGCACTCGCGAGCTTCTTTCTCTTTTGTCTTGATCACGCTGATGCATTGCCTCAACATTGTCTTTCGATTACCTGTTCTAGTGAGGAGTCCTTCTAGGTACTTCAACTTGATCTTTTGTGTGTGTCTCAGGTTGTGCTTGTCGCGGTGAAAAGGCCCGATGGAAAATGCGTTGGGGATGTATGCATCCTCGTTGTGCCTGCGGAGTATACTGGGGATTTTGAAGATGCAGGCTTTAGTTGAAATGACTTGCATCATTTCTTGTTGCCCCATATTGTTCTACAAGGAAGATGCTGTTGGGTTAAGGCCTATCCCTCCTATGTAGAGAAATGGCCAATATTTGTGGACTAAGCCCACACTTGTTAAGCCCACTTGAAGCCGCATTCTGCAACCCCTTAAGACAAACAAAGAAATCTGATTTGGACAGCAGAAAGTGGAGAACACATTAATGGACCAGCTGGCAGAAAGGGAATGGAAGGAGAGAATTTTGCAGATTTGGTACCATGCATACTTTTGCAACTTTGTGCAATCCGCAAACGTTCACCGTTGAAATTTTTTTTGAGTATTCATAAGATATAGATTTACATTATGAATAGTCAGTTTTTTATTTGAGCTATGTAAGTTCTGTTTTTGTGTCTTGATCAGCAACTCCTGTTTTGGTAATTGTCTCTCTTTGTGACCTTATTTTCTTTATTGGTATGTTACCTATTGTTCCTTTTATTTGGTGTTGTTTTTGTGCCCATTTAGAAAAGAATATTGTATACTCTCTTTTATCGTAGTAGAGCTTTTTCTGTGCACCTGATGTCTTATGGTTTTTACCTATTTTTTGGGGTTTTCCATATAAAAATATTGTGTCTCTTGTGGTGGTTGGTTTGCCTTTGTTATTTTTACTATTTTGCATATTTTTCAGTTGCTGCCATAATTTATTTGGACTCAATTTTAGCTTGCTCCTAACAATTTCAAATAGATTGGAGAAGATTTAGGTGTTGCTTTTGTTTCCATTATACTCAGGTGACACCCCTTTCTTCCCACCAGATGCCACTGATTCAATTATTCTTGCCATAATCTAAATTTCCCCTTCTTAAACTTCTCCGGGCAAAATTCTTTCCTGGGAGAATGAAAGAAAGAGAGGATTCTTGAGCAAGATATTTGAAGAAGAATTGTTGAAGACTCAGCTCTATATTGCACTTTAATATTTCTATTTAAGATTAAAATTTTTGTTTCATATAATTTAATATTTAAAAATTTTATTAATTATATTTTCAACCTATTCCTTTATAGAATCCCCTTAGAATTAAAATGTTGAGGATGCTTTGCTTTGCGTGAAAGAATGTTTATACTTTTTTTTCTCTCTCATTGTGTTCCTCTCGACTTTTGTTGTGTAGTATTACGCATTCATATGTGATTTGTTTATCATAAGAGGATTAACGTGAATGGAATAAGTATGTGCCTGATTTCACTTTAAAACCAAAAATTTCGTTTGTCTGCTACTTTGAAATTGAAATTTCAGATTCCATTCCCTTGTTCTTCGCTTCATTCTTGGTCGGGCTGGACAGGAATCTCGGACTTATTGTGATGGTGAAGAACCCATCTCTTAATCTTCAAGTTTGTTTTAGTGACTAAGCTCATCTTTATTTGTATGTTGAAATTTAGATTTGCGGCCTTTGATTTGGTACATTGGTTGAGGCATTTTCCCACCACTGTAGCTAGATTTAGTAAAGTGAATCTTGCTTGCCAGGTGTTTGAAAAAATGCCTAGCTGAGAGGTTGAGAAAACTCTCCATACCAACGAAAGCCAAAAATAAGAAGAGATCAGATTTGCTCTTTTTATTTTTTATTTTAACTTTAGTTTGTAGGGTAAAAAATAACTCTTTTTTATTTTTTAATCTTATCACATGAGTCAAAATAAGAACTTTTTACTTTTATTAAAAAAATTATTATTAAAATATTTAAGTGGTTGATACATCAAATTTGCTCTTGGTAAAAGATTTTATTTGAAATTTTGCATACCATAGAATAAATTTACATAAATTCAATAAATCACAAAAAAAAAAAAAAAAACCAAACAAACAAACAAACAAATAGAGATTCATCCAAAGGAAGAACCCCCCAGATGTCTCAACATATTATGACATGTCTTAAAACAAGCATTGATGAATTATTTGCCTGGCATCATCGTATAGATGGTTTGCAAGATGGCAAGGGTGAGGAGGAGGATAGCAAAAATCTGAGAAATAATAGCCCATGGCTTCCCAAAATAATTGTGGAAGTAAAACGCTCGCCATCTAGGCCACAGTTTCTCCCTATATTTATTCACTTGCACACAAAGCTTCTGGAAGTAAAACTCCTTCACACCAGTATCATAGTATAGCATCTTAAAGAACTGCGTCGCGTCCTCTGGATTTAGCCAGTTGTTGAGAATCCCAGTCTTGCTGAGTATATTCATGTCCTCTGTAGTGTTGATGAGGTTGTCCAAGAGCATAGCATAACATGTGACTACAGGAGAACAGTAGGGAGAACATTGCTCGTAGCTGATGAGGTTTCGAAAGGCAGGTTCAATGAATTCTGAAATTAGAATTGATGGCATTTCGAGGGTGCCATTGACGAACTTGACATCCAAGATGGTTGTTGACTTCACTTTCTTGAATTTGATTCCAGATTCTTCGATGACTCTGGCGGAAGGGAAACTCTGCCACACTGTTAATTCTTGCTCTTGCTCCTCTGGAAGTGGCAACAGCAAAGAACTTCTTAACAAATCAAGAATGTGTTTAATATTCTGATTGGCGAAGAGATTAAAATCCACAGGCGTTGCTTCATCGGAAAAGACGTTCTCAAAGAATACGAGAGCTAGTTGAACGAGGGACTTGCTTTCAAATGGATCACTTGTTAAGCTATACAAACGCTCGAGTACAAACCAGGGGATTTGGTTTTCTAGCAAAATCAAGTCCTGGTATAAGTACTGAGGCATGCAGGACATGGAGAAAATAGGGTCACCTCTATCTCTTTGATCTTCATTTGCATATTTTCTTAGTAGTTCAATAATGAAGCAGCCATCAAGCACCAACATCTCAACAAATTCATCTTCACTCATACCAATTTCTTCTTTGTAGCAGCTTCGGACTTCATTCTCAACCTGCTTGATCGCATCAATGCAAGCCATCAACACCGTCGCAGGATTTGTTCTGCGGATGAGGCCCTGTAAGTACTTGAACTTGATTTTTTCTGTTTCTTTCAGGTTTTCCTTTCCATGGTGGAAAGGGCCAATGGAGAATGCATTTGGGATGTATGCCTTCTCATTGTGCCTGTAGAGTATGCTAGGAATTCTGAAGATGCAAGCCTCTGGTGAAATGATTGGATCCTCGCTCATCCTGCTCTCCATGGAAGATGCCATTGATTTGGTATCTCTTCTAGTTCGTGTCATTGTCAATTTCCCCCTCCGAGCAAGCTCTAGGGGTTGAATTGTGCTGTCAAAGGGATGGAGGGAGAAAATAAAGTGCGGAGGCCAAAATTAGTATTGACGACTTGAATCTTAAATAGTTATACAACATTAATTAATATTTTTTTAAGAATCTTAACAAAATTAAGAAATAAATATATTTTCTTCTTCCCATCCTATATCTCTAATAATTTTTTGATTAAATTAATTATTTTACTAAAATAAAAAACGACTCCTCACTGTGATAACTCTCAAATAATGAATTCATTAATTCAAATAATTTTAAAATGTTACTCTTTCCATCTCAAAATATCTATTTTTTTTCAAATTTGTTTATTAAAAGTCATCTTTTTTCATCCCAAAAAACTAAGTATTAAATAATATTAAAGGGAGAATATGTATTCTAGTACTTAAAAATTGAAATCGTTGATTAAATACAGACTTAAATATTTTTGTCAATTAAAATTTTCATTAATCAAATCATTTTTATTTACAAAATTTTAAAAATAAAATTCTTAAACCATTTTGAATCCTAAAGGGAGGAGAACTTTTGAATTTGAGTTAATTTAAACCTCAATTCCTAATTTATTCATTATGCAAGAAATTTATTTATTTATATTACAATTCTCTTATCTTTTACAAAACATTTAATTAAATTTTAATATTTTTTCCATATTTGAAATGGTAATTGTAATAAAAATATTATAAATTATATTAGTCTTGAGTTGTTGTGTATGAAAAATTATAAAAATTATAAAGAGTTAAATGAAAATAAAAGTTTTATATGACAAATATAATATTTAAAAATATTAACACCAAAAAAATTAATTTGTGTACCAAAATTGAAAATTTTCAAAAGTTGAGGCGACGGCCTAATTAACCGCTACAACAATCGGCAACACATAAAACGAATGGTATATTTGGTATAGCAGTTTCGAGATGGTGGTTAATGGTTTTAGTCAAATCGCTAAATATAAATATTTGGTAAATTTATATATTTTGAAACCATTATAAATAAAATATCTGGTAAAAATTTTTATTTAACAATTTGAAACTGATGAATAATGGTTAATGTGCAAACCGCTAGTGGATTGGAAAAACTTGTTGAGGTGATTTTTTGTACCAAACCGTTAGCGAATTAGAATTTTTTAATTTTATTGACAAATTCATCAATTTTAATTTTTTAATTTTTTGTCACAATTTTAATTAATATTAATCTAATAAGTTTTAATTTTGTTTTTTTACCTTTAATAACATTAAGTGATTATAATATTTTTATTTTTTACATTAATTTATCATTAAAAATACATTATCTTAAAAAACAAAATTTAGTAATAAGACAAAATGATTAATTTTTTATTTAAAAATAATATAATTTTTTCTTTGTTAAAAATAAAAATGAGGGTGTAATTGTATTATTATAATTAATTTTATTTATTTATTTTCTTATTATTTTTTATAAAATTAATAATTTTAATAATAAAAATGAAAAATATTTTAAAAATATACTTAATTATTTTTAAACATGTTCTTATTAGTCATTTAATATTAAACAATAACTGTTAATTATTATATAACCAAATAGTTATATCTATCAAATTTACTCTTTACTATTCACTATATTTTTTTGTTATCCACAATTTGTAATTTATTATCTACTATCTGTTACCTACTATCTATTATCTATTAAATTTTAACCACCGTACTAAATAGGGGAAGTTAGAGTTGCACTAATAAGACAAAGTTACATGGAGGTGCACAAAGTGGCAGGAAACTTCTACATCATTGTTATTGTGTGACGTGGAAGTCATTGGATTGGGTAGAAGATATTGTATTAGGTAGAAGTTATTGTATTAGGAAAAATTTAATGTGTTAGGTAGAAATTATTGTGAAGACTTTGATTATGTGGTTGAGACATATGTATTATGAGGTTTTTTGTTACTTAATGTCAGAAAATGAACGAAAGAAAATGAGTTCTCAGCCCACCCAAAAGGGAACTCGACAAATGAAGGAAAAAGGAGTTGCACTTAACCAAGAGAGGGAACTCTAGGCGTCCCTCCTTATTCTACAACTCTCCTCCTCTCTTAAAAAACACCAACAGGGCAAAAAAGAAAGAAAGAAAAAAAAAAAACACTGTATAGGCAAAAGCTCTCTTCATGGGATGAAGAAAAGAAAAGAAAAAAAAAGAAAAAAAAAAGGGTTCTTCTGTGAAGCAGCGTTGTGGAAGACTCAGCTGAAAGTGGCTTCGTTTTATACTTCAATTCAATATATATTGCATTATGAATAAAGTATTATGCTTTGCTTTCCACGAAAGAATGTGCCTGCCATTTTCTTTCAGTGTATTTACTCTAATTTTTGGGCTACGGTATTCTCTCCATATAAATTATTAATAACACTAATTTAGTTGTTATTTTATTAATTTATAATTTTTTAAATAATTAATTATGATATTAAAAATATTTATTTATAATTAATATTAATTTTTTAAATAATAAATTAATTATTTTATTAATTATTAATTAATACAAATAATTAAATTAAATTAAAATTTTAATAATTATTAATAATCTTAATAAAATAAATGATGACCATAACTATAACACCAGGTTGACATCGTAATTTACCTTTAACGTATGATTGGTTTCTCTTCCATATTAAAGTATTTTTTTTCTCTAGGTTAAAGTGAAATTTAATTTAAATAGCTATTAATAACTTCAACAAAAATTTCCATGGCTTAAATATTGGAAAAGGACCTCAACTTTTGCCAAATTCTCAATTGAGGTCCTCAATGTTTATTATGCTCAATCAAGGTCTCAAACTCATGCAAACTCTCAAATAAGGACCCAATTGGATGGGATCCTAACAATCCGTTAAGTCTAACATGACGCCCGTTATAATCCGTTATACCCCTCAGTATGTGGCATGCCAACTAGACAATAAAAGAGCATTCTCTGATGTGGCATGTTGTGATCCCATATCACTCCTTTTTCTCCCATCTCTTCTCTTCCTTCCCACTCCACGATTTGGGGACAAAATCCCTAGAATTTTTAGTCTGCTTCTTTTCTGTGTAAGGTCTCCTTCTCCACCCAACAGCAGCCCACCCCATCCCTACAACTTCTCGGCCCAACAACCGGCCTTTCTTCGTTCAAGATCTGCTTCTTCTCCTTGTTCTACCTCAGTTCACTCTGCAAATGAACCCTAGATTTCCTTCTCCGCCTCGACAATAATGCATTCATTTCTCGAACACTTCTCCTGGCGAACTTGACCCTCCAGATTGACGGTCTTGATCATCTCCTGCTTGCTCCTCTACGCACTCTCTGCCTTCATCTTCGCCCTCACCAAATTCTTCAATCTCAATCATGGCGGCTATTGTTGCTGCACCGTCGATCCAAGATCTGTCAAAGTCGTTTGGGATCGGAAGAGTAATGCTGGTAATGCAAAAAATGGTAATGATGGGGAAAATGGTTTGGGAGATGGTAATGGAGTGAAGAGGCACAAGGTGATGGCTTTGGATCCACAATGGCCAGCCTTTGTCTGTGCGAGATCTTCTTATTCTCTGCTCAATGACTGGCTGTGCAAGATCTTAGGGTCCAGTTGGCATGCCACATTTGAGGGGTGTAACGGATTATAACGGGCATTATGTTAGACTTAACGGATGGGTAGGATTCCATCAAATTGGGTCCTTATTTGAGAGTTTGCTTGAGTTTGAGACCTTGATTGAGCATAATAAACGTTGAGGACCTCAATTGAGAATTTGGTAAATGTTGGGGTCCTTTTCCAATACTTAAGCCAATTTCCATCACCAAGTTCTCACTTCAAAAAATTCAGGTTCAATTTTCTTATAGCATGTATAATGAAATTAATAAAAAAAACTTATTTTAATATTACATCATTATAAATAATATTTTTTATATAAAATTATATTTTTATATATTTAACTTTCAAATAAAATATTTAATGAAACAGCTAAGTTGAATCCGATTCATAATTCTAAACAAAGGTCTCCAACAATTATTCTTTTATTTTTTTACAAAGTGGAAAGGGCGAGATTCGAATTTTGAACTCATAAAAAGAAGGGGAACTATACTTTTAAAGTAGTTCGAAGCCAAGTG